AAGCACGAGCCACCAGACAGGTAAATTTAAGAACTGGACCTGCCTTTAGGGTTTTTAAATGCTTGACATGGCCTCTTTCAAGGGGTTGTAAACCCTTACATATACCCAGTGAAGTGACTGGCCTCAGGTGATACACAGAGATGAAAGAAATTCTCCTACATAAGTTCTACCTGTCTATCTGCAATCTTCTCTTCTCTACATCCGTTCATAGTGTTGAATTTATAAAGCTTGCATGAGATTTCAGAAAAAAGGGGCGGAAAGCTGGAATTACACACTGCAGTGCTCAGTGAGGAGACCTCTGAGAGTTGATTGGAGGGAAGCGACACACTCCCCTTCACACAGCACAGAGGAACAAAGCTGAGGCTGTCAATCTGCTGGAGGTCCCTCCCGTCACCATTTTCTCTTGGTGTCTGGAAAACTTGTCAGAAATGACTCTAGCTGATAAAACAATGAAGCAGCAGACAGAAATTACACTTAGTGCTCTTAATTGAGACACCACTGTAAGATGACAGTGATCTCCAGAGTTCTAAGAAAACTCTTTGGTTATGGCTGTTTTTGGACATAAATTTAACTTTTAGGATACCAGTAGCTTTCAAACCACGGAAAAGCAATTTAGTTGCTTTTTTTGGAAAGAAAAATTGGTTTCAACTATGATAACACCATAACAAAGTTTCTCCGATAACCAATTAAAATAACAAAGTCTGTAATTAGCCATGAATTAAAATGAGTATTTTTAGAACAGTCTAGAAAGGACTATTGAAAATGGAGCTTTGTAATCACATGTGACATACTTATTACTCCCCAAAGCCCTAGTCTGCTGGCCATTGTTTCCATGGATTGCACTGATGATGGCCAACAAAGAAGGAATAATTGTCTCTATAGTATGAGAATCTGTGTTGTAAACCAGCAGTTCTGGTGTATAGTTGGATGTACAGATGGCCCCAGAACCTAAAAGAGTGATTTGCAATGTACAACCTTCTACCTAAAAATGTGGAATCAACCCCTTGTTTTGGGGATTTTGTGATAGAAATGAGGCATACAGATATTTTCTGTTTTAAGAAGGTTCTACTGTGCTTCACATTGGTTCACTGAAGGCTTTTTTTTTATTCCCTATTCCCCACCCCCTCATAACATGTATGTCATATGTAAGTAATACAATAAATAATTTAAACCATTGATAGCTATTTGCAGGATTACTTATGTAATGGTTTTGCTATTTTGGATCGGTTTAATGGCCCTTGATAGGAAAAAATGACATATGTAATAGCCATGTGGCAGAAGACATATGGGTTGATTTACTAAAGGCAAATAGAGTGTGCGCTTTGCAAGTGCAGTTGCACTGTGCAAGGGCATTTGCTCCAAAGCTTAGCAAATGAGGTGAAGCTTCACTTTGTAAATATTATCTAATCAGGTGCAAGGAAAATTAAAACACAGCAGAGCTTATCCTCATTTACTAAACTTTGGAGCAAATTCCCTTGCAAAGTGCAGTCATTTTGACTTTAGTAAATCAACCCCTAGGTGCCTCTTTTATGCACATGCAATTAGCAATAACGAGGAGATGTATAAAGTACGTGTAAGGATCTCAGAAGAGGCCAAGGAAATGGTAAGACTGACTAAGATGGGTGAGGATGCCAGGAGTCATTGACAGAATGGAGATAGGCTTTCAGTAAGGTGCATGCTCTAAAAGTACCCCGATGTGGGACTGTACTTCTGTGGTGGGCATTGACATATTTCAGTGCTTAGGGTGATCATGCTGCTGGTAACTGGTTGCTAGTCAGGCTTAGGGGAGAGTAACAGTCATTAGGCAGTTCAGGATTAGTTCATGGCTCATATGCAGCTCCAGACAGAGTCTAACTAGAACTTGATGTCAATGGTAACTGGAAAAGGCATCAAAACGAGTGTAAAAATGTAGTCAGGAGATACAAGACATGACAACCAATGCCAATCTGACACACAGTAAGGAGACACACCTGCAAACTTATTAACTCCATGAGTGGCAATTTGTGAGTGGCACAAATTGCCCTTAAAAAAGTGACCTGGAACCATTAGGATGGAGGCATGCCAACAAAAGGAAACCTTTCCATCCACTTCCTGGCCCACAGATGCAACAGGAATTTAGAGGAAACCCCACAAAGTAAAGGGAACTCCCCACCTAGACAGTTGTCTCGGAAACACGTGTCTCCAATGGAAGATTTGCCCTCACCTGATCTTCTGGGTCAACCTTAAAATGTTGAATTTCCCCTCACTTTCTTTACCAATGACCATGATTACCACCAGGGGAATTTTTCTGTGGACCTGTGTGCAAGATCATAAGTTGGGCCTTTCAACCAATTGTGTGAGCAGTTACATACGATCAGTGAAGGGGACTGCCCACTTAGACAATGGTTCCAGAAACAGGTGTCCCCAATTGAAGATTTACCCTTACCTGATCTTCTGGGTCAACCTTAAAATGTTGGATTTTCCCTCAGTTTCTGTTTCAGTGATCATGGTTACCACCAAGGGCATTTTCTGTAGCCCTGTGTGTAAGATCATAAGGTGGGCCTCCTAACCAATTGAAGATTTGCCCTTGCCTGATCTTCTGGGTCAACCTTAAAATGTTGGCTTTTCCCTCAGTTTCTGTTTCAGTGATCATGTTTACTACCAAGGGCATTTTCTGTAGCCTGTGTGTAGGATCATAAGGTGGGCCTCCTAACCCAGTGTTTCTCAACTCCAGTCCTCATGGACCCCCAACAGGTCATGTTTTCAGGATTTCCATTATTTTGCACAGGTGATTTGATTAGTTTCACTGCCTTAGTAAATACCACAGCTGTTTCATCTGAGGGAAAATCCTGAAAACATGACCTGTTGGGGGGTCCATGAGGACTGGAGTTGAGACACTGTCACTGTCCTAACCAATTGTGTTACCGGCCATTGATTTGTGCCAAGTGAACACCCATGCCCCTAATCCTCCAGAATTTTAGACTACATGATATTATTCCCTTTTACTAGGTTTTTATGAATACCTTTTTATTTTTTTGGAATTATTTGTGGTCCCTGGTACAGACGTGGCCTGTGCATCCACTGGCGCTAGTTTTGATGTGAAGGTGGGCCCAGGGTACATATGTATTATGTGCATACTTAATCTGTGTATTGCTGGCACTGCTCATTCCCCCTTCAGAAGGGGAGTGCAGTTTTGTCATAACTGCATCTCTTTTGAGCTGCAGCCACAAGTCACAGGAGAGGAGGACTTCCCGAACCTAATCTCCAATGGATGTGAGAACCCTTCCTCTTGGGGTCTGTATGCATTACAAGCAGTGCACACGCCTGAGGTCAACAGTGAAATTAGAGGGATGAATCTTCTCTACGGAGACAGGCGGCGATAAAAACTCCACCAAGGGTCAAACCCTTCCGCACTCTATCCAAAACTAAAAAAAAAAGGTTTTGTTGATGAATATACTTTAAATAACCTATAATAATAAAAGTGCCTTTCATCTATTTCTAATGCATTTCTATTTGGCACCCTACCCTGGAGTTCTCCTTGAATTAATCTCCCACCAGTGTGGGAGGGTACAGCCTTTCCTTTCCTATAACAATCTCTGTTTTGTGAAAGCTCCCTTTATACAGTTATAACGATCATTACCTCCACGGGGCCTGTAAACCCTTGTGTTTTCTTTCCCTCTTTTGCCGAGTCAGCAGTTTCTGCACCGATTGGATTGTTTCCAGTAAATCTGGATTTATTTTTCCTTACAGGTAAATTTACGTGTCCTCCCTCCTGCACCAGCTTCAGGCTGGATATGTCACCGATCGCTCGTCATAAATGCGGCTTACATCCAGTTATATTTCATTTTATGTAGATTTTCGACAGCCATGTGCGGGCTTTAAAAGTTTATGGAGTTAATTAAACAAGCGATTATACTAAATTCTGACATCACCATCCCGCTCCACACAGCTGTAAAATGAGAACAGCAGAAGCGGGTAAGAAGAGTGGTCTCATTCAAAGAAGAGCATGGCTCTAAGGGCTCATTCACATTTATGTGTTGCAGCAATGCACGCGTTGCCACAACGCATGCCAAGGCACCTGCTCTATGTGTGCTCTACATGCTCGTACCGGACCTTTTCACTATTAATATATTTGAAGAATTTTTTGGGGTTGGTCCTGCTATTTTTTGCAATCTGTTGTTGGTTTCCATTTTTTGTGGGCTTTATTTCCTTTTTGCATATTCTAATATATTCTTTGTAATGTTTAAACAATGATAGCGTTCCTTCATTTTTATATTGAATAAAAGCTCTTTTCTTATTATTTATAGCTTTTTTTAACTTTGGCCATAAGCCACATAGGTATGATTTTTAGCCTTTTAAACTTGTTGCCCATGGGAATATTTTTTGCAGTGTTCACATACAGTCTTTTTGAAGAACTCCCATTTCTGTGTTGTGTTCATCAATGCCAATATTCTCTCCCAGTCTAAATCTTGGAGAGCAGCTCTCAGCCTTGGAAAATTAGCTCTCTTAACCTCCCCAAGTGGTCTGATTATGTCCATATTTCTGTGCTCAAAGCGGTACTTTTTTTGCATCGAAATATGTACTTTTTTTATTGTAGGCCTGTAATTTTTAGGAATAACTCACTGAAATCTGTCCGAACAAGAGTCTAGTAAACTTCCCGGGTATGCTAAAATTTGAAACACAAAATCATAAATTATAATTTAATAAATAATCATAAAAAATAATATTAAATGTAATTCAATAATATAATCAAACCAAAAACACTGAAATTTGAAATATAGAGCCAAGTTCGCACATCACTGATCAAAGTCGCAAAATCGTTTTCAGTGTCTGATGAGGAATTTCCCCCACGAATCATTATCACTCAATTCTGCAAGTGGTTCTAATTTACTATTGCTGTTCACTAGCCGGTCTAAAACCGCTTTTGACCTAAAGGGACGCTTTTTGGACGTTTCTCAGTTTCCAGGCAGAAAGAACAGTAAAAATGCAGGCAGGGTGCAGAACAAAGCACTCGGGACAAAATGTATGTGAAATGGTTTGATACAGTAATGTTATACTATGTGATTTTAGTGAATTTAGATAATGTCACTTTTTGTCATTTTCAAATTTCCCGCCAGTTCCGTCCCCCGTATGTCCCAACACTCGCAGAGGACGGAACCCCGAAGACAGATGCCGGCATCGGCTGGAAGACATTGCCCGGGGACACTGCAGGAGGGACATCGCGGGAGCGCAGGACAAGGTAAGAGAAGAACAGATCCTGGAGCAGCGCCGCATGGTATTCCCGAATGTAGCTCGGGGTTACCGCTTGTGGTACTGAAACTTTACCCCGAGCTACACTCGGGAATACCTCCAGGGAGGCTACAGTTGAGTGTTTTTATTTTTCCCATATGTGCTCGCCAGGGGTGGACTGACTATTCGAGCACTCGGGCACTGCCCGAGGGCCCGGGGTCAGTAGGGGGCCCCATGGTACCTTTTATAGGCTTTTTTGGGTGTGCTTTGAATGTGGGCAAGGACACAGGGGCCCCATGATCCCCTATTGCCCGGGGGCCCCATGAGTTGTCAGTCCGCCCCTGGTGCTCGCTGTTAACAGCGAACAATAAGTTAAATCATGTTATGGTCCCTGTTACCCAGATGTTCTTTTATATGGACATTCGTAATAAGCTTTGCATGGTTTGAGATAATGAATACAGAGCTGCATTTATTTTTTTTTATCCGACAGGCTGGTTTTACTGAAGTCGATCAATGGATAGGCTTCAGTCCATACTGAACTGGCTAACATTCAATCAGTCTATGGCTAGCTTAAGTCATATTCAAATATATACATTGTTTGCATTAAAATATATATTTAATGATGTACTAATAGCCAGAGTTATATTAATCTGTGCCGTTCATATCTGCCTAGAGCTCAGTTTATGATCAGTGGGAGTCAGTGATCATCCGTTCTATGCTTTGCTCAGCCTTGCATCCTCCTGTCTGACCCATGAAGCACAACCTCCAAATGGTCCAACAAAGCAGAGCTTTTTTTTCGTTAATAAATCAAAGCCGATCACACAAAACGTAATCATTATTTCCTGCACTCTCAATTTTTTTTTTCTTCCACATGTGTATGACTTCTTTAACTGTGAGCAGTTCATAAACCGAAAGGTTTTTGTTTTCCTGACATTGCTTTGTGGTGATGTCATGAAGACAGTTTAGATGTTAACAGCGCTATGCGGAATTCTTAAAAGATCCACTCCAGATGTGAAAGGATGTATTTAAATGGAATCAAAACAAGAGGACTTGGACATGCAGCAGTTCACAAATTACAAAAAGCAGCAAATAAGTTAGTATGAACATTTACAAAGATCTGTTTTGCCAGACACCAGCAGTCTCATTGCCAGTGAAGTGGTATCTTATCATTGGCATTTAGACCCCTGATTGCGGGGATCTGCAACTTGTCAATCATGATATAACTGAGGATCATTATGGCCATGCGACAGGTAGATTATGACCTACTCTGCCGGATCGATCGCAAACTCCTGAGTGTGTCCGCGGCAGCACATTGCCCTCTCACCGTGCAGGCCTATGCCCATCTTTCCTTAGGTGTACCACAGTGTTCCTGGTGTGGCACTTATTGAGAATTGCAGGAGCAGAAGTTAAAGAATGGGCAGTAGTGAGCTGGGGACGGCAGGAATCAGATATTGTGTTACTACAGGGACAAGATGGAGGCCTGTGGGGCATTTCACCCAATACAAATGGGGTGTGCTGTGTACAGGGTGAACTGGCAGTTGGGCACAGGGGGCATTTCAGTGTACACTTAGGTCTACACTTGGTAATACACATAATTGGCCACTGTGTGAGCTTTGCATTATATAATACTGAGCTATACAGCTTGCAGTACTTACTCCTGACCCCTGCACTCTGCTGCATTATATATACTAGTAATCCCTTCACTCTGTGTTATATACCACTGACTCCTACACTCTGTGTTACATACTCCTGGCCCTTTTACTCTGTGTTACATACTACTGACCCTTACACTGTGTTACATACTACTGACCCTTACACTCTGCGTTACTTTCTCCTTATCTCCTTATCCCTGAGTTAGTTAATTACTCCTGACCCCTGCATTCTGCATTACATACTAGTAATCCTTGCACTCTTCGTTATATACCACTGACTCCTGGACTCTGTGTTACATGTTCCTGGCCCCTATACTCTGTGTTTCATACTACTGACCCTTACACTCTGCATTACTTTCTCTTTATCCCTGCACTCTGCTTCAAATGCTACTGAGCTATGCATTCTGAGTTAATTACTCCTGACCCCTACACACTGCGTCACTTGCTATTGACCTCTGCACTCTGCATTAGTTACTCCTGACAACTGAGCTCTGCATTGGTTACTCTTGGATTCTGCACTCTGCCTTACATACTATTGACTCTGGCACTTTGTGTTACTTACTCCTGACCCCTGCTCTTGTCTTCACATGATACTGAGTTCTGCAATTCAGAGTTAATTACTCCTGACCACTGCACTCTGCATCACAGGCTACTGACCTCTGCATTAGTTACTCTTGGCTACTGCATGCTGCCTTTTATACTACTGACCCCTGCGCTCTGCATTGTTTATTCTTGACTATTACACTCTGCCTTACATACTAATGATCCATGCACTCTACATCACATGCTACTGACCCCAGCACTCTACATTACGTACTCCTGCCCCTTGCACACTGGATTAGTTACTCCTGACCACTGAACTCTGTGTTACATACTACTGCCCCCTGCACTCTGTATTAGTTACTCTTGACTAAAACACTCTGCCTTACATACTACTGATCCATGCACTTTGCATCACATACTATTGACCACTGCACTCTGCATTCGTTATTCTTAACTAATACATACTGCCTTACATACTATTGATTCATATGACCTGCATCACATGCTACTGACCCCAGCACTCTGTATTACTGACTCCTGCCCCGTGCACTCTGCATTAGTTACTCCTGACCCCTGCACTCTGCTTCACATCCTATGATATCTATGCTCCACGTTAGCTACTCAACTCCTGCACTATGCATTAAATGCTACCGACCTCTGCACTCTGCGTTAGTTACTCTTGACTCCTGCACTCGGCGTTAGTTACTCTTGACTCCTGCACTCGGCGTTAGTTACTCTTGACTCCTGCACTCGGCGTTAGTTACTCTTGACTCCTGCACTCTGCGTTAGTTACTCTTGACTCCTGCACTCTGCGTTAGTTACTCTTGACTCCTGCACTCTGTGTTACATTCTACTGTACTCTGATTTACTTACTACTGGCTCCTGAACTCTTTACATTGTCCTTACTTTTTGAAGGGGCCATGCAAAGTTGACTCCTTAAAAATCAAAGAGCGGAGCACTGCACCTTTGTGAACGTTGATCTCTTCCGTGTTGTTCAGGTAGATCTCCACCTCTCCAGAGCTGCCTACCTCGGCTTTATCGGTTCCTCTTCATGTCCTGCACTGACACTTCGCCATCTGCCTATTATGTAAAGATCTCTAAGAATTGGGCAAACACCCACTGGTCCATTCACTTGCTGGCCAGGATGTGGTATCCGCTTTCCCAACTCACTTGTAAACTTCTCGGGGGTCCTCAGATCCCCTGTACCAGTTCAATTCTTTATGTCAAGGAATTGGCAATCCGTGAATATCTGCTCGATGCGGAACAACCCAGTAAATAAGGTGAATCAGTTCATCGCAGTGATTTGCTTCTATGGACAGCTGTCCCGCTCCTGCCACATCCCAGCATGTTCTGTCCTACTGAGGCCAATTCTAGCACACGGCCCTAAGCTTCTGTACTGGGGTCTGCCACCGCCCTTTCCCCTGCAGAGAGGTCCAGATGGTCAGCGGTAGAAGGGAGGGTCCTTCTCCATCCTGATCCTTCACTCCCATATGGTTCCCGTCATACCTTTTCCCATGGGCCTACTTGCCCTTTTGGATGCTTATATAGAGGAAAAGGCAGCATGTCTAATCCCCAGTGACACCAATACAGTGATCAATGCTAATAAAAAGCACTAGGCAGGAAGGGGTTAACATCTGGGACGATCAAAGGGTTAACTGTGTGTGCTTCACTGTAAGCACACTGCTTTGCATGGCTGTGCTGTGCAGAGCCATGCAAAGCAGTGTGCAGGAGAAGACGGGAGAGAATTGTTTTTGTTTACTAACAGTTCTCCCCCACCCCCTTCCCCTTCCCCTTCAGGGATTCTCGTCAATCACTGGGCACCGGCGAGTCATCACCGGCCGACCGCAGAGACGCACGTATATATACATGATTTTCAGGGGCGGACTGACAACTCATGGGGCCCCCGGGCAATAGAGGATCATGGGGCCCCTGTGTCCTTGCCCAAACTCAAAAAAGCCTATGAAAAAGGTACCAGGGGCATCTCATGGGGCCCCCTACTGACCCCGGGTCCTCGGCAGTGCCCGAGTTTCCAAATGGTCAGTCCGCCCCTGATGATTTTGTGCACCCATGCTGCCCTGTAGCTGGACTGTGAAATGAGAATCACTCTGTCACTCTGCTCTCTCATCCTACCAGCATGCTTCTTGTTAGCACTGCACAACTGATTGACGTGATTTTGCACACCCATGCTGCCCTGTAGCTGGACTGTGAAATGAGAATCACTTTGTCACTCTGCTCTCTCCTCCTACCAGCATGCTTCTTGTTAGCACTGCACAACTGATTGACGTGATTTTGCACACCCATGCCGCCCTGTAGCAGCACTTCTGCTATAGGGCAGACATGAAGCCCTTAAGGCCCCCTTCACACTTCGAGTAGCTGGAACTCGTGTTCCCCCTCATGATTTTGTGTGGGGGATGCATATGTCACGCATAGGGCAGCCCATTCACTTCAATGGGTTGCCCTATGCACAATTTGTCACCCAAAAGAAGCTCTTTCTTGTTTTTTGGTTGACAAGCTTCACACGATTTTTAAGGGTGCGGTTTGCTGAGTGATTCTGATGCACGGCAATCGTGGAAAAATTGCATAGTACTTGAGGTGCCATTTAGAATGAAGGGCACCCAAACGCACGTTGCATGTTTTGCAGTGATTACCACGTGATTTGGATTCAAGGGCGGAATTGCAGCGATTCTGAATTGCCAAGTGTGAATGGAGCTTTAATGGTTTATTAATGAATACAGAGCTGCATTTATTTTATCTGCTTGGATCAGATTTCGCAGAAGTAAGGCAAATAAACCAGAGGAATCAGGCTGTGGAATCTTGTGTATGTGTTGTATGATGTACATGTTCTATTTACCTCGCTCTGATCAATAATCGCACATTCACATGCATACCTGGAAACATGATAGTGATCCCCCCCCCCCCCACACTCTGTATATACAT